GGTCTGTGGTGTGTGATGGTCTGTGTGTGTGGTGGTCTGTGTGTGTGCAGGTCTGTGTGTGTGCAGGTCTGTGTGTGTGATGATCTGTGTGTGTGCAGGTCTGTGTGTGTGACGGTCTGTGTGTGTGCAGGTCTGTGGTGTGTGCAGGTCTGTGTGTGTGATGGTCTGTGTGTGTGCAGGTCTGTGTGTGTGCAGGTCTGTGTGTGTGATGGTCTGTGTATGTACAGGTCTGTGTGTGTGATGGTCTGTGTGTGTGCAGGTCTGTGTGTGTGATGGTCTGTGTGTGTGCAGGTCTGTGGTGTGTGCAGGTCTGTGTGTGTGATGGTCTGTGTGTGTGTGGTGCATGGCATTCTGTTGTGCACCGGTGTCTGATATATCGTGTGAGAGCACAGGGTATATGGTAATTTACATTCATGCCATTTTTGACATTCGGGGTCTGCGCTAAGGCAGGTTGGCATGCGGTGTGTCTGTGGCACCTGTGGCTGATGGCAGGGTCGGCATGCTCACTGAGCTCACCCTTCCTAGGGTTCGTTTGTCACCCTCCTGTAGACCCGCTGCCGCAGGGCACACCCTGGTGCGTCAGCCAGGGGCTTACTGATTTTGAAGTGATGCCCGACATATAGGGAAGTAGCCAAATATGTGGGAGGGGTCCAGCTTCTCCCTGGACAGGGCTCAATAGGGAGGACACAGGCCCGGCCCCTGGACTCCCACTCCTGCTCAGGTCTCCTCTGTCCCCACACCCGCAGTGCCCTGTCCGCCTCTGTCTTTCCTGCCCTCGGCCCTTGTGAGCATTGGCCAGTCTCTGGGGCTGCATGGTGCTGCGCCCTCTGCGGGTCTCCCACTGGTCTCCCTAAGGTGGGGCTGCCTGGACCGTCCCAGAAAAAACATCCCCAGCTGCATGCCGTGTGGAGCCCCGCCTCTCTGTGGCTTCTGGCCTCTGTGCCAGGCCGTGCCTCCTGCACCGCCTGGCCAGGGCGAGGATCACCATCCTCGCTTCAGCTCTTCAGTTACGGAACAGCCGCTCCTGGTGGGAGGTGGGGTCTGGGTTTGTCCATTTCTCTCTGGGCTGCTGAATGCAAGTGCGGGCGGGCGCCTGGGGCCTGCGTCGTGGCCGTGGCAGCCCTGGGGCCTGCGTGCCCTTGGACTCTGGCTCGTGGCGCGGCAACGCGTGGGAATCGACCCATGGCAGTGGGTGCACGGGGGCTGTCAGACTGACCTAGAGTCGCCCTCTCCCCATGCAGGACTTGTGTCTGTCCAGGGCTGTCTGCGGAGACTCCGCTCTCCGTGGCTGGGCCTTCTTAGGTGTGGCGGCTCGGGCACAGGCACCACCGTGGTTGGGCATGAGTGAGGTGGAAAGCAAGGGGCTCACAAGCACCTCCTGACCAACTGGACATGAGCTGGTCAACTCGCCCAGCAGCAGCCTCAGTCCTGGCTCCTTGCCCTGGGGGAGGTGGCTCAGCACCTGTGGGCAAGGCACGCACAGAGCACCAGACCTGTGGAAGGCCGGGCTGGTCCCTTCCGTGAAGGCTGTCGCTGCCACCGCCCACACATATGGCATTCTCAGCAGCCCCCGGCCGGGCCCCAGATGGCCGCCGGGTGCCTCGCACGAGGGCAGAGGCTGAGGTTTTCCTGCCTGGAGCCCACAGGGCCCCTCCCAGCGGGTGGGCCACCACTCTAACCTCAAATAGGGTCTGGGCCACACCCCTGCAACAAGGGGGCTATTCCCAGCCCCCCGGCCAGCAGAAAATGCCCCCCACCTCCCAAGCAAGAGTCAGGCAGCCAGCCAGCGAGGCAGCCATCTGGCTCTGCCCCAGGTCGGGGGCTGCGCCCCGCAGTGGGGCCGCAGTGAGCAGGCCTCGGCTGGGCTCAGCCCGCCCCAAAGCCCCTCCTGGTCATGCAGGACCCGGAGAGAAGCCCCCTCAGCAGTGTTGGCCTCAAAGGGACAGGCAGAGGCCCCCAGGTGAGGTCCCTGCAGGCAACACACAAGGAAGGATGTGGAGAGCCCTGAGCCTCGAGCAGAGGGAGGCCCCACGTTCCTGAGGCGGGGGCCGAGGCACGGCTCCTTGGAGAGGGTTAACTGCTACCAACGCTAATGCCCCCGTGGGGCCCCAGCTCAGAGCCCACCACAGGGGTCTTCTGTATAGATCTTGCCTACTGAGGCCTCTCCTGTGTGGAACCCCGGGGTGGGGGTGTCTGGTGCACAGACCCTCGCTCCCTGGGGTCTCCTGTGGGATCCTGGCCTTGGGTTTTATGTGCAGACCTTGCCCACTGAGGGGTCTCGCTTACATAGCCTGCCCACCAGGGCGTCTCTTCTGTGCAGACCTCGCTCTCCGGGGGGGTCCATCAAGAGGCTCCTGCCCATTTGGGCCCCCGTTTGTGAAGTCACCATGGTCCCTGCCTGGAACCCCCTGCCCATTGGGGTCCCGTGGTTGTGACCCCACCCAGCACTACTTGTCCACCAGGTGGCGAGGGCAGAAGGTGCTGGACCCCTGGCCTCGCCCAGGTGGCCTGTGACAGTGCCTGAGCGGGTGGCCTGCAGGATCTCTGTGGGCAGTGTGGTGTCAGACTCGGGGCTGAGGGCCAGGACAAGGCAGGTGAGGTCTCAGGGTGTGATGTCACGGTTGGGGGGCCTCCTGGCTCCAGGTGACCCACAGCCAGCCTGCTTCTTCCAGGCCCCATGACTCCAGGGGGGAGGGGTGTCAGTTTGAAAGGTCTTGTGTCCAGGTGAGTAGGACACACTGACCTCTGGGTTTCCTCGGGGCCCACCCCACCTCTCCCTGCCTCTGATCACCGCTCCTTGATTGTCAGGACACCTCACTGACTGACTGACTCTCCAGGTGCCTTAGAAGCTGGCCTGGGCGGGGCGGGGGGCTCAGCCAGCTACCGTGACCTGGCCTTCTGGGTCCCCTTGCCAGCTGTGCCCTGGGGCTGGCCTGGAACCGTTGATGTTGCCAGCCCCTGGTGGTATGCATGTCCACTGATGACCTGCAGGTGGAGCACCTGAGCAGGCTCTCGCTGGGCCTGTGTGGAGGGAAGGGGGACAGGCTAGTTCTGGGGACCACAGGGAGGACCCATCAGCTCTGGCCAGGGACCCAGAGGAAGGTGGGGTGCACAGGGCTCTCACCGGGGTCCCTGAGGCATGCATGACCCCCAGGAAGTCGCTCACCATGTCTGCACCCCTGTGTCACCAACCTCCCTTTCCTGCCGGCCGCAGTCCAGTGGTCAGTCCCTCTGCCGCCTGTGGGTGGGGCTGGGTAGAGCCCCTCAGTGGGCCCCTCCGAGGGATAAGGCTAAACCCTAATGCATGCTGGCCCCACCGCTGGCCGGGGCACTTGTTGCAGCTGTGATGCTGACAGGCCTCCTCTCAGCTTCCAGGGGGGACACGAGGAAGCACAGCGTGGCGAGCTGCCCCACACATCAGTCCCGAGAAGATGTGCAGGGCCAGGCAGACAAGGCCGTCCCCTCCTGGGGCCCTTGGAGCCCAGACCATGCCCTGTGCTGCACCCTGCCGTGTCCCAGCGGGCATCTCCGTCCTCTCCGCGCTGCCAGCAGGGTGTGAGAGAGCGAGCACAGACCTCTGTCAGGGCCAGGCACCCGTGACCCTCACCCGGTCCTCCAGGCCAGGTGGCGCACGGGCAGAGCCAGGCACCCATCCTGGCTACTCGGTCAGACTCAGGGCTCAGCCGGACGCGCTCACTGGGCCCCACTCAGTTGGCCCACGCGTGTGGGGCTGGCCGGGTACTGAGCCAGGCTGCCTGTGACTCGCTGGTGCTTTCTGGGAGGGCCCTGCCCCTGCCCTGAGGCTGACGCAAGTGCCAGTACTTCCAGGAACAATGCTCCCCAGAAGGGAGAAGCCGTGTGTGTGTGTGTGTGTGTGTGTGTGTGTGTGTGTGTGTCTATGCATGCACTCTTGTGCACCCACGTAAGTTCACACCTAGCACGTGCACATATGTGTGCACGAGTGCAGACGCCTGTACTGCTTTAGGAGAAGCTCTATGAAACCTGTTTCTATGGGGTGGCCCTGCCCACTTGTGCAAGAGGGGGGGGGGGCCCTGAGCATCTTGTCTTGGAGCTCTGCAGAGCCCCTGCTGGCCTGCGTGTCTCCGGGACAACCCCCCCACCGCAGTGCTGCGAAGGAGGTCACAGTCAGGGCAGAGTTGGACCAGGAGGTTCGGGCCCATCTGGAACAACCCCCAGGCACACTCAGAAACAGGCACAGTGCTTGAAAAGGCGTGTCATTCATTCGGGGGTCCAGACAGCCAGTGTGTAAGCCATTCAGCTCACGGCCCTTCCCTGCCAGGACCCCCCTCAGTATGCCAGAGGCCGCTGTGGGCCACACCAGCTGGCAAAGCTGTAATCCTAGTGTCTGCCTGAAGCTCGTGATGGGGGTGGGGAGCCCTGTGGGGGAGGGGCTGCAGCCAGCCAGGGTGGTCTGGGTGCCCAGGACGGGGTGGGAAGGTCGTGTGCATTCCCTGCTATCTACTGTGAGCCCCTGCAGACAGGTGGGCAGGCAGGCAGTTGGAAGACCCCTGAATCCAGGGCACAGCAGCAGGAAGTGTGGGCGGGGCTGGGACCTTTGTATCAGGAGAGCGGGAAGCCCAGCCCCCATCCTGTTTCCTGAGGGCCGCGCAGCGTGGCCTCTACTCTGCCACTAGGGGCTGGGTCCCCTTGGTGACGGGAAAATTCAAGGCCATCACGGGTAGCTCTGTGGCCGGAAGGGACACTGGGTGTTAGTGCTGCACATCTCCGGACAGAGGCCGCTGCCCGCTGTCCTGCATCAGGCTCTGTGAGGAAGAGGCACAGGGAGGGAGTGTCACGCTGACCCTTCCTGCTCCCTTCCACCGCCAGGGGAGCTGGATCGAACCTTGCTGGATTGAGTGGGATGCATTCTGTGCCCCTACTCGTGGGCTGGAGCCCTGGTCACTCAGACTCTCGGAGGTAAAAGGTGCCTGTGCCGTCCGTCACCGCCCGCCCCTCTGCGCCAGCTGCCCCACACCACATCCAGCTCAGACTGAGGTGACCTCGGCCACAGAGCCTTCTGGGTTGTGGACATGGCTATAACTTAGCCAGGAACTGGGCACCCTCTCAGCCACGTGTCAGGAATGTCAGAGGACCTAGAGTCAGGTGGTCTGGGGCTCAGCTGAGTGTAGATGGCCTCTTGATTTTGTCTAGTGGCCAGCCCAGGTTGGGCATACCTGTCGGGAAGGAGCCAGCTGGGGCCACCCAGCATGCAGGTGGACGAGCCTTCTCTCTTTGGGCACCCCCTGAGGGCTGAACGGGACCCCAGAGCCCTGGCGGGGCTGGGGTCAGAACACAGCATGTACCCCATGAGCTCAGCAGCTGCTCTGTGGGAGAAAGGGGCACCGTCCGCTCCGTAAAGGTGGCAGGCAGCCCAGGAAGCCCCTCTGCCCTTCAGGTCCAGGATCAACCCAACAGCGAATTTGGTGTTTGGGGTGGAAGGAGCCACGCATCCATGGGGGAGCAGGAGGGCACGTTGAGGCCACTGGTGTGAGGGGTGAGCCTGGTCTGCCGAAAGCTAGCCTGGTAGATGGCCCCTGTGTGCTCTGAGTGCCAGGGAGCTGCGGCCCGGGCTCCTGGGCCACCCACCCACCCACCCACCCACCTACCCACCTACCCACCTACCCTGGCCGGCCCCCGCGAGGACGTTGTATCAGTTCCTTCATTTTAATACACGGAGATTTTCCGCCTTAAACCACAAGGGGCAGAGGAGGGGAGTCAAGTATTTGAACAATCTGGACAAGCAAGGTATAAACACTGACTGGGTCTCGTCACTTCACTCCCAGAGCTGCCCCGGGAGGCCGGGGCGGAGGAGTGTCCTGGAGCCTGGGGCCAAGGGCCTGCCACTGGAGCAAGCTGGCCTGGCTCTTCGGGCCTCTGGGGAAACACGACCCCCGGGCACCAGTCACAGCCTTGGTGTTTCCATGGGCCTAGGCCACCACTTGCTGCCCACTGGCCTGGTCCTCAGTGCAGGGCTGCGACCCGCAGTGCAGCCGCTTGGCCAGCCGGCGGAGCTTACCAGGAAAACGCTTGTCCAGGTGGCGGTAGAGCAGGGGTGTCACAGAGCTACTGGCCAGCGCCAGGAGCCGGGCCAGGTCCTTGGCGAGCGGCAGGGCCCCCACCAGGTGCCCCTCCGTGGGCCTGCCCCGTGAGGCCAGCAGCGCCTGCCCCAGGAGGGTTAGGTAGTAGGGCGTCCAGAGCCCGAGCTGCGTGCCCACAGTGAGGCCCAGGAGCCGGTGCGCAGAGGGGTCCAGTCTGCCCACGTCGCCACGGCCGAGTGGTGAGTCCTCCTTGCGCAGCCGGGTGATGAGCGCCAGTGCATAGAGGGCAGCCAGGGCGGGCACCACGTAGCCGACAAGCACCATGATGGTGTCGGCTGCCTCGGTGCTGCGCATCTCCGCGCACTCAGCCAGCCTCGCAGACACGTGGCTGCAAATGTGGAAGAGCAGCGCGGAGAAGCTGGTGAGCAGCGCGCCGCCCCAGACGAAGCCGCACACGTGCCGTGTGTTGTACACGCTGGACATGTAGGTGCGCGGCAGCGCCCGCTCAATGTAGCAGTCCAGGCTGAGCAGCGCGGCCGAGTACATGGTCACCAGGGCGGCCACGTGGAATAGGGTCAGCAACGTGACCTGGGCCTCGCTGCTCAGCCGCCACAGTGCCCAGTGTGCATGGGCCGGGCCCAGCAGGTAGGCGGGCGCCAGAGCGCCAAGGACCAGCCCGGCCACGGCCATGTTGACGAAGTAGACGTCGGGCATGCTCATGGCACGCCGGCTGTGCAGGTTGGCCAGCACCAGCAGTGTGTTGTAGCCCAGGCCCAGTGGGAGGCCCACCAGCAGGTAGAGCAGAGAGAGGGCCCACAGGGCCAGCGGCAGCTCCCGGCATAGCGGCAGGTTGGCCCCAGCCGTCCCATTGGATGTGTCACACCCCCACATGGCGCCAGGTCCAGCAGCAGCAGCAGCAGCAGCAGCACCTGCAAAGCGGGACACAGTCAGTGTGTGCAGGGAGTGGGACCCCAGGAGCCCACTGGGCTCCTCCAGGGAAGGGCTACCATGAGCTTGCATCTTTGGGGCGGTGGGGGGTGGGGAGGAGGTGCGACTGCAGGCGGCCCTACTCCTGGCTTCGAAGGGTCCCAGAGCACACGTGGGAACTGTCAGTGTCCAGTCAGCATATCACCTGTTGGCCACCGTTCCTCCCTCAGGAAGGCCAACCCCCAGCCCCTGCCAGGAACGGAGACCAGGCCTCGGCCGCCCACCTGCACCCTGCCCTTGCCCAGACAAGGTCTGGTGTTTTGCTAGCCCTGGGTCCGACCAGGCCACCCACCAGAGTCACTCGCCAGGGGCGGCCCCTTTGGCCCTCGCCCAGGGCCCCAGCCTTCAGGAGACATGGGCACTTACGGCAGCGTGGGGTCTCAGTGGCCGGCACCCTCCAGCTCTCAGAGCCTGGTCCCTGAAACACTGTGACTGGAGGTGGGGCTTCTATTGCAACACCCCTGGGGCCTGGTACACCGGTGGTCCATCTCCTGGGAAAGCCCCACTGCCTCGTTTGGAGCAGACACCCAGTGGGGACCTTTCTTTTCCCTGAAGCTGAGAACAAAGTGCGGAAGCTGCCCCACCCACCCACCTGGAGCAGAGCCTAGTCCTCCAGTCAGAGCCAGGTCAGGTGGGCACGGCTGATGGAGGGTCGTGCCCGTCAGGTCAAGCACGTCTGGGCTTCTGGCTCCCAGCCCCCGAGGGCTCCCACACACTGGCCTTCACAGGCGTGTAGCGGGTGGAGGCAGTGAGTGACAAAGGAAAGCCAAGGGGGACAGAACAGGGCCAGCCCTGGTGTGCCTTGACCACAGGACCTGGTCCTAACCTGTCTGTACCTCAGAACATCACCTGCCAGTGCCGGCGGGTTCGGATAGATTGATGGGGAGTGGGGGGTGGGGGAGTGGCTAGACCAGTGGTTGGACAGACGTGTGAGTGTGATACACTGACAGAATCTGAGTTTGTGGGGACGTTTCACAATCCTAATGAATGTCACTCGGCAGCATGCTCATGATGGTCAGACAGCCACAGATGCGCCGAGAGTCACACCCGGGTGGGTGGCACGAGGACCCCCCATGCCACGGGTCAGCAACACCACCTCAGGTCCCATCCGGATGACGCAGCCCTGCCTTCACTGGGGGCCAGGAACCCCTGGTGCTTGGCCTCACGAGGCGGGAAGGAATGGGTGTGGGTGGGAGGTGATGGGCATTGTCAGCCGCGGGGACAGGGTCTGTCTGTGGGGAGCCCTGGTGAGGACTTGAGGGTGGGTCTGCCCTCATCCATGCGCTCCCCACAATGGACATCCTGAGAGGATACCCACTCACTCAGCCCTGCTGGAACGATTGTGAGGAAGGGTTCAAACTGGCTCGCGCGCGCGCACACGCACACACACACACAAAATCATACACATTCACGCAATCACACAAAACACATTCACATAACTGAACATACACAGACACACAATCAGACACACTCCCACTCACACGCATGTCCCCACCGCAGGTGCTGTGGTGGCGGTGACGGTCGTGTAGGACCTGAGTGTTGTGTCTATCACCCTGGGCCTTCTGGGGGCTGGCCTCGTGTCCACACTCCCCTTCATGGGCCTCTCCCACAGCCACCTGCAGGGGTCCTGCCTGCTCTGGTGAGGAGCTGGTTCTCCTTAGCTCTCAGACACTGCAGGGCAACCCTGCCTGCCTGTCCCCCTGCGTGTCTCCGCTGGCCCTGCAGCAGGGCCCGGGCTCCTCTCCTAGTGGCTCTGCCTGCCTCCCGCATCCTCGGCTGCTCGCCTGTGC